TCGTGGCCCGACTGAGGGCTGCTGGGAGCAGGGGGCGGGGCTTGTTGCATGTGCCCGCCCCCTGGGCTCCTTACTGCCGGAGCGCCGCGCCTGTGTGCTCCCGCAGGAAATGACCCCTGGGTCTTCCTCTTTTCCTGCCGCCTTCAACTTCTCCTAGCATTATTGTCTCCTCATTCTGTGGCCAAAGTATGGGTCACTTTTCTAAGGGAAACCAGTCCACACCCATGTCATCCTAGCCTTAAAACAACTGCCCGGGGAGCACACAGGAAGCTGGGCTCCCTGCTTCCTTGTGATTCCACCCTAGTGTCACTCGTAAAACGTTTGACCGGCACACACACACCCAGGAAACAAGCCCGTTTTTCAGCTGACCTTGACCTTAGGGTCTGAACCCCCAAGGAACAGATAGCTGGAGTCAGCTGAGCTGAACTGACTTCCACAGGCGCATCTCTGTCGCAGAAGGAAATGGGGTTTCAAAGGCTTTGGGCAAAGGGCACCTGGGAATTGTAGTTTTTTAAATGTGCCACAGAAGCCTTGCTATGAAGACTTCTTCTCCCCCAGGCGGCTTCTTCCTTCCGCGTCTCCCTGAGCCAACCCCTGTAGTTAGTTCTTTGGAAGGAAGGCACACCAGAGTTAGACTGACAAATATCAACAAGGAAGGCACACCAGAGTTAGACTGACAAATATCAACACGGTAGAATCGTCTGGTATATTATCTTTGCCAACCGGCCGTTGCAGGAATGGTTGTCTGGGCAGGGAGGGCCCCCACGGCGTTCTCTCTTGCTCCTGCCAGGGGATGGACGAGGCAGGAGGGGAGGCCCTGATTCACAGAGAGCAGGTGGCGCACACCGCTGGGGTCTACTCAGGCTGCCGATAGACGCCACACCTCAGCACAGATCACTAGAGGCAGGCACTTCGTTACCACTTGCAGTGTCCAATTTGGTCCTCTCCCCGCATCTGTTGTCACTGGTGGATGGTTACCAGCAACTCTCGGGAGTGCTCTCTGCCCCCAGCATGAGCCACGGCTGATTTCTCGCAGCTGCACCAATACCATCCCTTAAGCTAGCTCAAAATTGTATGGATTTATCCAACTGGACCGTAACGGCTAAATCAAAGGAGATCTAACCCTACCTGACCCATGTCTG